ACAGATTTTACATTTTTTATTGATAGATAAATCCCTTCATCCTGCTCTATTTGTTAGCCGGCTTTAGTACAGATGTGGCGCCTCTATCCTATGGAGGCGTATTGAGTTAAAGGGGAAAGACTTATATCTTGGATAATCTCTTCCAAATGATTATAATTACCTTGCAAAGGAACGCCTTCGATTAAATAAATTCATAAGGATAGAACGTGCAAAGGATCTCTCTCAATTGAAAAAATTCATAAAGTTAGTATATAGGAAGCAAAAGCCAGTTTATTGCTCAAATATAACTCATCTCGAAATATCATATTACCATTCACTTTCAGATAAAAAAATCATAAGCATTGTATATTCATGCCCAAATATAATCCATTTGAGTTTCAAAAATAGCATAGGATTTAGTAATAGAGCATTAGAACTGATAGTGGGTTCATATCCGAATCTGAAGTATCTCAATTTGTGTAATGATCAGTCGGGTGGCTTTACGAGTTTCCATGTTTGAGAAGTGGTTGATGGAGGTCTATAGAAGATCACAAAGACATACCATAAATTAGAATATTTAAATATCGCTTATCGCACAGAAATTACTGAACATTCAATTTGCGGTATTATTTATTCCTCTCCAAAGCTCTGACATCTTGACATTTTCTTTTGTGAAATTATTGATATGACTATTAAAGAAGTTGCTAGATCATGTCTTAATTTAAAATATATTAATGTTAGAGGGTGTTATATTAGCAAAGAAGCCCTAAATCAGCTAAATCCAAATACTCATGTCGAGATTTTGTGGGGTTCGTTTGATAATCAAGTTGTGATAGAGCAATTATTCAGACAGCCTAGAGTTGCTAATATTAGAACTCAGTTTCACCAGGCATTATGACAACCTAATTCCAATATATTCATGACAGTTGACTCTGGTGTTGATCACCCCATTATAGCTATAGGCAGACAAGCACCAAGGAATTATTCGATAGTATTATTCGACGATCTAGCTAGTCTGGAGCAGTAATCATCTGTCCAGAAGATTTATTTTTTTATATTAAATACACCTAAACTACAAGAAAGATATTCAACTAGGATGATACTTGATATAGAACCCAAACAAGAGCTTAACGACCTTCAAGAATCATTTGTTAACTTAGGACAAGACTTATGGAAAACTTACGCAAATCTTGGATCAACTGCGTAATACTGTGAAGGTAAGATTAATGATAAAAGTTATCAAAGGTCTGTTATAGAATTAGAACGGGATATGAGATACATGTGCGAAAGACTTGGGTTAATAATAACCATGTATGACCTTAAAAAGAAGATTGATTATAAATTTGAGGATCCCGAATTAGAAACTAACTTTACTATCACTGAATTTATTTCACGAAGTATTAAATATAGGGGTCAAGAACCATTATCTTCTCATTTGACATTTGAAACTTCACAGGGCTCATTACACCGTAAATTACGTAAAAAAGATTTCCCAGAAGAGATTGTCAATGACGGTTGTAGTACACCTGAATTAACCGATTCCAATCTGGAATAGTAGCGCTAAACTTAATTAGTTTCTGATCTAACTAGTCCAGAGCGGTAATCATCAGCTCGGAAGAATTTGCGACAAAAAATTTATCAAAAATTAATATGTATCGCTGGTTACGTCCCAAGCTATGTATTTATTTTTTATCTTGTATTAATAAAACGTTTTTTTGGCAAAACCCGTTTATAATGTTAACAGGTTGATATATATATTTTTATTTTGAATGCTTATGTACATTGTATTAGTTATATATAGATCATGTCATTCTCGCTTGAATCATTAAAACAACGCATTACTGAACTTGAGGCTGAGAATGCAGAGCTTAGGAAAGAGAATATTGTGATTCCTAATCTTAAAAAGAAATTTGCTGAGATTCCTGAACTTAGAAAGAAGCTTGCTGAGGTTGAAGCTAAGAATGTCAAAATTGAGGCCAAAAATGCGGAGCTTATGGAGCAGATGATAAAAGAGAATAATCGACGTGATGCTAGAATTGAGAAATTGGAAGAGAAGCAGTTGCAAAGTGATAATACTCCTAATAACATCTTATCTAACTTTGCTTTAGCGCCTTCAGCCAATTTGGGTGTGATCCATTATGAAAAACTATTAGAGGAGAAAGAGATGGATAGTTTCTTGCTTGAGGCTCATAAGAAAATCGTTAGTAGTGAAATAAAGTAACGCAATAAGGAAAAGAAACTTAGCAAAGCAGAGCAAGCATCTCTTAACCAAGATCAAGAATTTGACATCGGGTGTTTCACTTCTAAAAAGATACCGGAGGTATCGAATTCTGTGACTAAAATTTCAGCTGAGATCCCCGGCCAAAATAACCATAGGAAGAAAGGTGTAGAAAATATCGTACAATTGATAGTTGACGGTATTAAGGATGATGCCCAATTGAGCGACAAAACTATTCCTCGCGATATGATTTCAATTGAGAGCCTTAACCAAAATTCATCTACAGATTCATTGCTTTCTTTAGCATAATTATTCGATAAAGCGGATAATACCGAATATGGCGTAATTCGTGCTAATCAGGAAGAGATTTTGCACTGGTATTATTATGGAAAGAAATTTTTAACCCAGATTACTGTGATTATATAAGATGAAAAAGGCAAAATAGGCGAAAAAAGGCAAAGGGAATAATCTATGATAAAATGTTGGAACACCTATCCATGTTGCGAAAGCAACGATCTGAAGATACAGGATTACGTCTCCCAGAAATCTCCCGTAAAAACTTACAAAGGAAAACTCAGAAAGCTGTAAAGATATATAAAATATTTGAAAAGGTAGGCGTAGAGAATATTAAGTATATTACT